TTTTAAGGTGGTTGATTCAGAGTTTAGTCATGGTATAAAGGTAGTTTCTCGTCGATTTTAGATATAGGTCACCAGACACTTTATGCTGGTTTTCATGTATCAATTTTAACGAGCTAGAGTCGTGCTGAATTTATAACTTTTGGAACAAGAATAACAAAGAAATAATAATATCGCTTGTATCTTCCACAATTTATGAATATTGAAATTTTATGCTTTTCACATCCGTGTCCCCTCCCACCCACCTCCCACCCCTATATATTGCCAGTGTCATGCTTTTGCTAGTTAATATCAAGGGCGGCGATGGGGCCATCCCCTCACTGCTTTAAATCGTTTATTTCAAGGACGGAGATGGGACAAACCGCTCTCTCCATCCCCTCCCCTATTAAAGCGAAACGACCGGAACGTTTCGGATTTTTTTTTATAGTCTGATAGCTAAAACATGCACTGTGAACGTTTAAAATGCTATCAGCGATTCGTCCCATGTTTCCCAACTAAGAGTTCCAATATATAGACCCCTTGTCTGCTTCTTTACCCATTCCATGAAAGGTCTTGGATCCGCCCATTTATTTTACTTGACAAGTGGCTTTGTATCAAAGTACGATCTAGTAAAGATTCCAGTCTGATAGCTGAAAATGAGAGCTATGGAGAATCAAATGTTGAAACACACAAACACACACATACACACACAACGGCGTACGTAGTGTAAGACGCGTGGTAGCAAACCTTTTCATTTATTTGAAACTTGCTAAACAAATTTCAGCTAACATATGAACGCACGCCTACGTACACACACATACACACACACACAATAGTATTAAAAGAAACACTTGAAAAAATATTTTTACATGGAAAAACCCATCATCATTATCTCTACCATATTATTGCCTCGATTACTACCACCCTATCACCTCTATCACAAACAAACCATTGCCACCAAGAACAACAGTAGATGGTCAATTATAGTGAAATTCACATTGCTTATTCAGTGTAAGAACAATTGAACATAGATTAAACAAGGTATTGGTTAGCAAATAATTATTAAAATATAAACGTGGAAATGAGAAACCAGTATTGGTTTTATTTTTTCCAGTGAAATAAAAACTTGTGCATATTTTAAAAATTAAAACGCATCAGACTCAAAACAATACTATGAGATAGATACACACGTTTATCTTTCACGGTCATTTGTTATGTTGCAGAGCTAAAACTGAATTTTGTTTTACGTACCAACATTTACAAATCTACATTATCAACATCAAAATCTTATAAATATTTCTAAAACTTGTGAATTTGAAATCCACAAGTCAACAAGTTATGTAAATTATAGGCATTTATCACCAGGATAAGTCTACTGAAAGTGGCGGAAACGCCCTATTCTATCCCGTTTATTTGACCTGTTGTTAAAACAAATTGCAGAAATAAAAAAAACCCCGCCCTTTTATCATCTTTGTCTGACCTATTATAAAACAAATGATACAATATTAATATTAATCATTATCTTTTTAAATTAGTTTTTTTTTCAAGCCATTTAATGGGGTAAAATTAACAATCACAAATACCCCGAAAGAAGTTAAGTGTTTGTCAATTAGGTTTAATAAATAAGATCTCAAAACCGCATGATGACGAAGCATATTTGTGTACGTAATAAACTTATTTGTTCAGTTTCCTTTCATCTATATATACCCATATTATTATGAAATGAAGTCATTCGTGACAACGATTCAATTTAAAATTCTAATATAATTTGGATAAGAGTAAGTTTACTTTAGTTTTTTTTTGTTTGACTGGGACGCACGGGTGGCTTGTTACAGAAATTAGGTCAATAATACAAGTTACGGTCACGTGAGAATACTCGTACGTTTGCATTTTATGCTTACATCATGCTTGTGACCAAATTGAGGAATAAGGCGGTTTATTTTTATCGCTTATAATAGAAGGGGTAGTAAATATAATATTAACAATACGTAATGAGCTGTGTTTACTGATATATTGTCGTATGTTTGAAGCGATAATTTTAATCGTATATCATCTTATCTATGGTGTGAAAAGAGTTAACATGCATAGGGACGAAATTAAACACCACCCAAATGATACCTGTACACGTTTTACTACCGTCTTACAGGCGTGACTAATTGTTTAGATGGATACACGCGAGGCTATTGAATAGCTTATTCGTTTAGACGTATATTTCTTCTTTTGTGATCCTTTACTCATTTCAGCCCTGATAATAAACTCTTCATAATGACGGAGATAATAGTTTTCGAACGATTGTTGTTCTGCTGACCTCGAAAAACCCTAAAGCTAATTGTATTGTATTAGATGTTTTTTTTTGTTGGTATACGGATACACGTCAGCGAGCAACAAGGGGAAAATGATACAATTGCAAGTTTTAAGCTTAAGAACATTATCACCAAAACAATGCCCTCGCTTCCAAAAGGAGATATCCGATCTTTATATTGAAATACCCGACAATAGATCCGAAAAGATTAATTTACGCAGCTTTCCAAGTGGAAAGAATGCTTTTGAACTTAAAATGCTGAAAGTACGTGGGTATCCTTTGGTCTTAACAAACTCGTTAGCTTGTTTCAACATGTTTGACAGGTGCCCGATGTTAACGGGAGGCAAGCAGATAGTAAAAACGCAACCTGCGGCGGTAATTATCAAACAAAATGGAAAACTTTGTGACAAGTCTGGCTCTAAAACGGTTAAACACCCAGAGTGCAATAACCTTACTCGGTAGGAGAAATTAAACGTTGCTGAGTTGTAACTGAAGTCTCAAACATAATACAATCAAGAAAATGTATGATTAATCAGGTGAAGCAGGCGAAATTTATGAAGTCTTCGACAAGGTCACAAGGGGAATCCTGCATTAAATCGCAACGAGTTTAAAAAGGGGGGGGGAAACGAGATGGAAATAATTTGCTTTAAACCAGAAGATCGTGGTCGAACATTGTCATAACCGGTCGATAATTATACAGGCCACAAGAACAAGTTAAACATGTAATTAATTACCCATAGAAAAGTAGGTCTCGCGATATCAAAGCTGGCACTGTGATGTAATTTTTCTCTAAAGCTCTTGGTGTTCTCGATGGAAACGTGGGAGCTTATTCGACTGAAATACACTATCAAACTTCTCTTTCTTTCTTTCCGACTTTCAGAATCTAACCTAACCGAACTGAGGGCGTATGGAGTTGCGGAAGAACAACTGAAGGTCTGTGACAAGACGCGCTCTGAATCTCCAAGACTGATTGATTAAATTGTAGATGATGAAATTATTAATTAAATTTACCCATACAGTATGTCCTGAAAGAAGAGGGTTTTTTTCTTCCATTGATATGGAATTCATTGTAGCAAATGTTTTATATGAAGTAATCAAACGCCTCTTGGTATGGATGTCAGTTGCGTTTCTGCCTTCTCCCTGATATTCAAACTGCGTGAACATACGTCTGCTGATCGATTAATCCTGGTTCATATCAGGATTTACAGGTACGATCCTGGTTCATATCAGGATTTACATGTACGATCGTCAGTTTCAAGCATAAGACGACACTTATCTAAGAATGTTATGTGACCTATCATTAAAAAAGTAAATATAAATAACACGTTCTTAAATTAAATAATTTTCTTTTATTGAAATCTATTTAGTACAAAATAGGAGAAATAAAAAATTACGCAAAACTCGATATCATAATATACAGAGAATGAACTCGTTACAACGATCTGTTCAAGAGCAGAAAAGTTACCGATAGTTAGCATAGTTTTTTTTTTAAGTTCAATGAAGAAAACTCGATTTAATCACAACTCAAAACAGTATTATCCTACTGGTGCCATTTCTGAAAAGCAAAGACAGCTTTGCTCCCACTTCAATAGAACAAAACATCGTACACGCATATATTGTAACGTAAATATCGCAATGAATACATGAGCATACCGTTTTCGCAAGCTGTTAATGAAAGTTTCACACTGAAGGACACATGATTTGGATATCTTTATCTATCAAAAGAAAATAAAAGATAAAATAATTATTTTGACATAATTTAATTGAAAAACGACAAAATCTTCACAATAAACAGCGGTTTTACTTTTTCATCTTTTGAATATCCTACATTGGGGACTTTGTCCAAAGAAATTATAGTCTTTTGGAAGTTGGAGATATTTTAATCATTCAACACCATATATTAATTAATTTTTATAAAAACACCACAAAACAAACAAAAAGAAAAGGAAACAAATACATAATCATGTGAAATTAGGTTAAATAAAATTAAGAATTACGTGGTTTTTTATAAGCTGTTATGACGCTGTTGATTTTATATATCCTTTATATGCAAGCTGGAAAAAGATTGTGTGATTCAAATGCATTTTCCAGTTAGTTTTTTCAAAACTGCATATCTACACGTTGGATCAAGGTCTTGTAGGATTGAGTATTTCTGATACATGTTATGAAAATCTCAATTACATTTACTGGAAACGTCACTATACATGTTTTTGAGATCATGCCATTTCGATACACAACTTACACTGCTCTCTCTCTCTCTATGCCGCACATTTGAACCGCAAGAATGTACAACACGTATACATCATGGTCCCTCTAGTATGCCATTTTCATGCAAACCTTTTAAGTCTCGTGAAGAAACACACCATCCACTGCAGTAACGAATTTCGATATAGCCTATCCTTCACGGCCGTACCGTTTCAAATCCAATAGATGTACTAATAAACAATATTTCTTTTAATATATAATAACCCCACAAAATATTATTAGACAGTGTAAATAAAGAAGCGGGACCATACGTATACACCATTGTTTTGTTTTTTTTTCTGTTATACAAACGATGATGGAAGATTACGTAATATATATATATATATATATATATATATATATATATATATATATATATATATATATATATATATATATATATATATATATATATCGGTGAGGCTTGCATAGGATTTGGAAACTGGCTAATACTGTAAATTTATAAGACAATCACAATGATGTCCTAAGTGGTTAGAGCGTCTGCCTCTGATGCGAGAGGTTGTGGGTTCGAATCCCGGCCGATATACACCAAAAACGTTTTAAAAAATGGTAGTAGAAAATGCTTCGCTTAGTGCTATGAGCTTAGTGTTTTATATGACTGATCGACCTGGTGTCATGATAATGTTGCTTGGTTGGACATGATGCCCCCAATGCAAGACATCATTAAAAACAGCGACACCACAGACATCGTAGCTATATTCCTCATATTATTAAAGAAAACATACACAATTATAAGACAGTCTGATAATCACATGTAAAGAAATGTACAAAGGTGTCATGCATGTGTACTAAATAAATCATGGATATTACATATAAACAGCCTACTTACCTCCTTTAAAGGACGTTCAAGGTCCAAGTTTCTGAACAAAAGCCTTAACAACTGGATAAAAAATGCAAAGAAAATAAAAAAATCCTAGGATAAATACATTCTAATAGCTAGACATTATTCTCGTGATACCAAGGCCTAGGCCAATAGTAGGTGCATCATTAAAACAATCTATTCAGTTAAATTGTTTACAAAATTATATTACCTGTAAATTCCTTTCAAGGCTGATAATAACATTAGATAATATAACCTCCAAGTAAGTTTTGACTTACTTGGCGAAAGGAAATGAATACAATCAATGGTGTTTGCCAGCGAAAAGCTTGCATTATATCAATTTCATAAGGAAAAATATACATTAGCTAATGTGAAATAAAGAAGGGTTAAGGAAATAACTTTTAAAGGAAACGTGATTCAGATATGAGCGCTCGTCGTTTTAGTGAATGTGAATACGTTGCATGGCTCTGGGGAAGATACCTGAGAAACAATACCCTCAAAAAGTTAATATTCTTACTAAACAAAGAATTTTTATTTTACATTTATTTTTTGAGTGAGAGGGGTGGGTGGGGAGATAGAAAATGGGAAGTGCCTTTTCAAAGGACACTGCTGACCTGGGCGGATATCGAACAGGCGTTCACTTACTGGTATATGGGTCTGAAGCCTTATAAAGCATTCTGTGTGTATATATATATATATATATATATATATATATATATATATATATATATATATATATATATATATATATATATATATATATATATATATACACACACACACATACATGTACTAACTGTATGTCCTTAATTTCAATTACATCTCACTCCGAAACAAAATAAAAAGGGGCAAAACGCTTTGTGTGTTTATATATATATATATATATATATATATATATATATATATATATATATATATATATATATATATATATATATATATATATATATATATATATATATATATATATATAATTTACAAATACATTCACTAAAAGAAAGAAAACATAATGGAAAAATTCAAATTCAACCCAATGAATATAGTCAATAATCATTTCAAGTTAATCCAATCAACCATGCCGTCTTGCAGTGACTTAATTTGCTATCCTGCTGTGTGCTTCGATACCTCTCATGCTACATTAAAAAAGAAAATGGCCCGACACAAAGACGGTTTATACTGGTGGCTGTTTCACCAATCAAGTGCATCGAATCCTATGTAAATCTGACAAATATTATTTAGCCCCGCAGACGAATTTAAACATCCAAATGTTTCTTAGACAACAGCTACTATTTCACACATCACATTCTCAAGGTTATGTGCAAGTGACATTCACAGCAGTCTCAATCACAACAGTCAGAACATGTACATTAGGTACAATTTTTCTTTGTTTTGAACTGAGCTCTCATTTGACTTCTCGCCAAGTCTCGTGGAAAAGCTGTTGACCACTTTTATTAACCGGTTGTTCGGTTAGTGATGAACGACTTGCGATAAGGATGAATTAAGACTGAATATAATAAGTAAATCAATGAAATAAATTAAATCACGAAAGAATACCGATAAGAAAGATTCAACAATAACAATCTATACGTACTGCATGGCATGATAATTGTCTCATACTTAAGGCCATTTTCATAAACAAGAGTCCCTAAAAGAGGTGCCACTTAGATGCTCGTAAAGACCAGTTGGAGCCTTGATACCAATTGGCTGTTCACTCAAAAAGTTTATTCACAAAATACCAAGACCTGGAAAACGTAAAGCTGATTATCAAGGTAAATTCAGAAATTGTCGATACACGCTATGCACACATATCTATCAACAAATTATAACTATATTTGATTTAATGTATAACGTTCTTAATAAAATCATATTCCACGTATCTATATATAGGACTTTTGAACCCTGAGTCCGGGGATGGGATAGATTGTCCAAATAAATCACTATGCTAGTAATGCTAATATTCTCACAAATGCTTAGCGTCCCCTTCCCCAATAAGACATTGGTATCGACTAGGTTACTAATCTGAATTATAATCACGGCTACATTATATACGGTCAAAAATTAGGTCGCACATTTGATCCTTGTTCGTAAGACAAGAAGAGCTATCGATTAGATTTTTTATCTAAGGCGCAGTAGTTAATTTGTACCAAGTCACAATAACTGATCAAAGTCAATGAGAATTTGTACCAAGTGACAATAACTGATCAAAGTCAATGAGAATTTGTACCAAGTCACAATACCTGATCAAAGTCAGAGAATTTGTACCAAGTCATAAAACCTGACCAAAGTCAGAGAATTTGTACCAAGTCACAATACCTGATCAAAGTCAGAGAATTTGTACCAAGTCGTAAAACCTGACCAAAGTCATAGAATTTGTACCAAGTCACAATACCTGATCAAAGTCAGAGAATTTGTACCAAGTCACAATACCTGATCAAAGTCAGAGAATTTGTACCAAGTCGTAAAACCTGACCAAAGTCAGAGAATTTGTACCAAGTCGTAAAACCTGACCAAAGTCAGAGAATTTGTACCAAGTCATAAAACCTGACCAAAGTCAATGAGAATTTGCATAATCAAGGTAAAAAAGCAATCATAGTCATTGCCAAGACACTGAGCCGAAACTCACAAAGAGTATATGGCTAGAATTTAATTCATTCTAGAGGCGACTTTTGAAGCTTTTCCGTCCACTAGTTATGAATCAAAAGTCACTGAGTGATGACAAATAAAATTTACTGAAAATAATGTTATGAAGTGTCTACTTAAAGAACTGTTCCAAATTTGGCAGGAATGACCGTAACAAGTACCAATAATACACATACTAATTAAAGTCACAACATTGCAACTTCAACTAGAGGATAGGAGAAATTGTCATTTGACTTATTTGAATAGGTTGTTGATATGCTTCTTCATACGAGATGTGATTAAACCCCGTTTTATTTTACTTGTATCTAATCCAGCATATAATCCTGCTGTAAAGCAACACATTTAAATTCTGCTCTTTGACTTTCAACAAATTTGTCAACAAACATTTTTTTCTTCTAAAAATTAAAAACTAGTCATGTGTACAGATAATTTTAAATTTAAAAAAGGCATAATTTTAAATCCCTCTCTTAGGCATTTAGGGAGAATGATCGTCATTAAAGACTCGGATACAACGACATTCCGTATTTGATTTCACCTATCACCTGCATACTATAATGAACAATATTTTGATACATGGCCTTGAAACAAAGAAGGGCTAGCAAACGAAGATCGTTCTAGAAAGATTAATATATATTACGAAAATAAATTCCAATTTTAGTAACCGTTCTACGGGCTGGTGCTAATGAACGGACGACAAAATGACGGCTAGATGCTGCACTGCATGTTGTGCGGAGAAATTCGACCAGCACCACATCCCCCCAATGCGAGGGAGACCGATTATTGACAAATGACTTCCGTTTTGATTTTTGTGTGGAAAGTAATTGGTTCATTGTCTTCTTGATCTGCTTTAATGCAGGTAACGGAATTACTGTCCCATACTAGCGAAATATTAGGAATTAAATAACACTGAGTCCTAGAAGCGTTAACATTCGCGGATGAATGTTGGTCCTGTCCAGCAGAATGTGCAAGCACTCTTTTTCTGAGGTCAGCTTTTTCTCTTTCTATTTCTGCGATCCGTGACAACAGTTCTCTCCTTCTTCCCTTAAGCTCTTTGTAAATCTGAAACCACAATAACAAAATTCAACAGCAGTACAGCCAGTGCTGGTGCAGTGTGGAACAACGTTCCACTGAATAAATTTAAAACAAAACGAAAGGCAAATCTGGAAGTGATCAATCAAAATGATCTCAAATGATTATCAAAGATTTTTTATTATAGCAACTGAAGTATCATTCGACCGACGACAACAGCTAGTTTAAAAATGGATACAAGATTTAATTTCTTTCGTGTTTCAATATTTCCATAGTTCCTTTCTCCGTCGAATTCATATCTAAGGGTAAATTGGGGTTTTTAATGTATATTTACTGCGCAAAAAAGAACATATGAAACTTGTAAAACCTTTCAGAGGCATACCTCTTTTAAAATATCATGCTGTACAACAGTCGTCTGCAATAAAACGTTTGCAAACGTCTTTTGTCATAAAATAAATACACTCATCCTGTACAAACTCTGAGAAATTTTTTGTAAAATGAGTAAGTTTTGATGTGTGATTAACTAGCTGTTATTAAAAGATGAAGATAGGTGTATATGTAAAATGCACGATTACCCATATAAACATTGTATAGAGTTTGCTGAATACTAGCCTGGGCAAATGGTGGGCTTCAAGCAAATAAAGCCTAGACGGCTAGTTTCTACTAAAACAAAATATTAGTTCAATATTTTTAAGAATGTTCTTAAGAAAAACGTTTTGACTCAGATTCTTAACTCAGCAACCGTAATTTCAAAAAATGGGGAAATTTCTATGCAAGTAAATGTTCGAAAGGAAAGGACCTTTACCAGTAGAAATCAAGCAAGATCACGTTTAGGAGCCATATTTGAAAATTGGATAAAACCAGGATACCATAAATAAAACGATAGTGAGATCTTGCTGTTGATTTTTTTTCTCTCTCTTTCAAACAGATCTGCCAAAAATATGCATAACCGGATTTGAAACTATTGGGAATAAACCTTTTAAACATGTGGGTCAACATTGCTTATCTACTGACCTTTGGCTTAGTCCTGGAATGAATA